GATTGGTGCTAAGATGGTAATTCTGTAAAGCGTTTGTGCCAATATCCGGATCTTTGGCATCCCCAAGAAGGAACCTGGTGCCTATTTGTGTTGTTTCAATTATCTCCAACTGGATAGTGCTACTGAGAAACTGTGGTGGATTATCATTAATGTCTTGTATCTCTATTTTTAGATGGTAAATATTTAACGGGTTTTCAATCACTAATTCAATATTAAGAACACATAGTGGGGTTCTGCCACATATTTCTTCCCTATCTATCCTGTCATTCACACAGAGGTTTCCATTTTCTGCACTGATTCTGAAATACTGCACCTCATCCACAGAGATGGCTTGCATTTTGCGACTTGCGAGTTCTCTGAGACTCAGTCCTAGATCCTTTGCAAGATTCCCCACTATAGCACCTTTTGACATCTCCTCGGGGACTGAATAATGAATCTGTTCCGAGACAGCCCGGTAGGAAACCGACAATAGTAAGAGCGATAGTACTTGCCTTCGGATTGCTCTGCCATTCCCTTCTTGCCCTCGCTCCATCCCCTCTGCGATAAAGTTGACTGCCTCAAAATCTCATTGGAATGCGGAATAGTAAGAAACACTCTCCTTTCTTCTTAATTTCTGGGGACCATCCCTTTTCACAAGACTGCTTTGCAATTGTGATCTGCTGTTTTTCCCTGCCTTTAACGAAATGCCGGAATCCTCCTTTGGGAAGCATAGCAGCTCTTCTCCATTCTCTTCGGCGTCACCGTTGGCTAACAGCGACACTCTCAGGCCAGAGGGGAAACTGCAAGGATTTATTCAAAAGTACTTGCATGAGACCCGTTTTTGGGGTATTCAGAATAATTGCATACAGTTTTGGAAGAGTTGGCCCTCTGGTTTTTTTCTTTATATTTCTGCAATTGTAATGTATCTCTTTCAATGTGCTTTTATTCATGTTAACAGCTGTTAATATGATGTACAGTGCAATGTACCTGTCAACGTAGAATTGACTCCACTAGACCTGGTCTTGTGAAAACAATAATATATTAGCATATTGAGAGACTTCTGCATCTTAAAAGCTCTAATGTAAGTTATGACAGTCAAAAGAGGTTCAATGAATGACAAAACAGTGATATTATTTGGTTATTTTGTATAAACTGATTAAAGGAATCTTATCCTTCTTACTGTAATGTTCTAGTAATCTAAGTTGCTTTGAACTACAGTATATTTTCCTATCATGAACATGTCCTTTTGTTCATATATATCTAATAATGTAGCTATATTATTTCCATCTGAAAAAGCTTCAGGTATATTAGAATACAATCAGGAAAATAACCAATACATTTTTGGTATTTCTTTTTGTTGTACATTAGCAGTTTTCATACCAATTTGGTCTATTGGTTAAAGCACCAAGCTAAAAAGTGGAAGGCCATGAGATAAAGTCCCACATTAGCCATAAAAGCCAGCTGAATGACTTTGGGCCAGCCCAATGCACCTCACCTGATAATTGTAGAGAAAATAAGAAAAAGGTGTGTTGGATATGTTTTGTGCCTAGAGTTATTTGTAAAAATAATAAAATTGGGATACAAACAAACTAATAGGAAGAAGCAGAATAAATGGAAAAGTCTTCCAATCACTCTAAGAAATGTTCCAGGAGTCTGTGGAATTTTCTTCCTTGAAGAGTCATAAGAAATCTGCTTTTTATGAACTGGAAATTTTTCTAAAAATCATTGGAATTCTTGAATCATCAGAATTAATTTTGCTCCAGTATGGTTTATTAAGGATACAAGATAATATAAATCTGAAATTCTTATCTCTTTTTTTGAGGTCATTAAATTTAATATAGTAACATTGTTAACACTGAGACTTAAAATATGACTCCTAATTAGGAGCCTAATTCAGTAAATTAGATGCTGGCCTTTGAGTGCAATTTTAAACAGGTTGGTTTGTTATCCAGTATTAGTATAAAAGCAGGTTGCCTCAATTTGGAAAATATATTCATTGGGTTCAGAGCACTTGGAGATATAGGAGATCCCATTGAACAACGGCTAGGCTCGGAAATGCATGGAATCAAAAGCAATACAATAGAGTGTGAAAAACATGAAATATGAGAGGTTTGCAGTTATGTTACACTTAAAAACTAAACCAAACATGATCTCCAAACCAAAAATTCAGCCACAGTGATATACAGGATGCTTTAAAATACAATTGCTCACCATGTTGTCTGAGTATTTCAGGAGCTCAAGTTCAAAATGTGTGGAATGAACCAGTTACTTTAGAGTAACAACCAAAAAGACAAATTCTATACTTGAGAAGCTTACATTCTAAAATTCAGTGCAGGATTGAAACAGCACATTTATGAAGAATATTAAAAAATAAAGTAAGAGCAGGACAGTTAGGCAGAACATAATCAGTAATGATATTTTTCAGAGAAGTAGCTCATTTCTTTTCAATTTCTGAGCTAGATCTGCACGGTTCCTGGTCCTACAATGCAAAGCAATTGGTTGCAGGTCCTTCAATCAAATGTTGTAAAAAGTTGCATTTCCTCAGTTATATTTCTTCCTTATCAGATTTGTGTTTCCTTGATATGTTTTGGAATGCATTTTAGAGATCTTAACATATGGAAAAATTTGAGCAAATAATATTAGTAAAATTTTTGCAAAGAAAACAACCAAGTTACTCTTATTCTATCCTAGGCCTTTTGCAGGCTTCTTTCATTACATAACTGGAAAGCTTAGTGACCTATTTATATACTCCTGAATTTTAAATTAGAATACGCTAGCAGAAGCTATAAATTAATAGTTAAGTTTAAAACCATATATATCTATAATCAAAATACATGAACCCAATATTTTTGTGTGTGACTAGCATGATTAATTAGTATGGCATAAGCCCTCTGTTGGTCTGCTTATCAAGTGCCATAGCGAACAGTGTAAACCAATAAAATTTGTGATCCTTAGCCTGTACTTACTCATACTTTGCAAACCCAGCCTCCCTTCAATATTACTGGTATATAATAAAATATAGTGAAGTGGGATTGGTTCTTTTGTTATAATTTGTTATTTAAATGCAATTAATATTTAGACTTCTAAATTGCAAGCTTCCTTGACAACTTTATATTAAAAAAGTGTCATCAGAAAGGAAGGAAAAAAATCTATTTAAACAATTCTCAGTTGTTTTGCGTTATATCTTTCTTGAAAAAAAAAGAGATATCTGGCAATCTCTGATTTGCTTTTACAATTGTAACAATATTTTTAGATTTGCCAAATTGGATTAGTTCATAAATTAAGCTTATTCACATCACATTAATTCATATATCGCAGGTGGTTTTAGACAAGCTATTATATCTCAACCCAAATCTCCAATAGAATTTGAAACTGCTACTGGAGAAGCATAACAAATCCATCAATTGTTATTCATATTTGGAGGTTATTTTTCCTCATTATTTTGCTTTTTCATTCAGGGCACCCAGCATATTATTTGAATTCAAAATATTGGGCCCCTTTCTGTTCATTTCATTAAACTGAAAGACCTATGAACAAAGCATCAAAGCACTGGTAGTCTGAGTATTTTCCCTTTCCACAAGTCTCTTTTTCTAATGCACAGTCTTACATATATGCACACATGTGTGCAAACTATCTCTCTCTCACACAAATAAATAATATATTTCAATTAGAAGGAGACTTGCTCCAAAATCTTATCCTGAAATAAATCTAATTTATAAAGGTACATTAGAAACCAGTGAAACTGTAGAAGTTGCAATAAAACTATGAGAAACCACAGGTGAAAGAGATAGTAATATAAAGTAAAATGTGTATATAAAGTCATATACCATAGTATATTTTAAAGAATGGTTAAACTTTAAAGGCAGTGCTTGGAAAAAACAAGAAAACTCACCAGACTAGATTTAGCCATCTCAGAATTTAGGATATTAGTTCCATTGCTCGCCAAAAGATCATCAGATTTTTGGTTGCATGAAATATATTCAGCAGTTTGAACTTTGGGAGTTGGAAAAGTAATTTCATGTATCTTGGACTCAGAGGATAAGCAGAGCTGATAGGAATAAGGAATAGTTCCTTCCTCATAATTTGGTGGGAATATAATGGCATTGCTTGAATGGGGAATGGGAGCAAAGCATGGAAGAAATTTCAGATTCCCCGA